CTCTTGTAGGGTAGGTCTGGTGGCAACGAAATCTCTCAGTAATTGCTTGTCTGTAAAGGATTTTATTTCTCCTTCACTTATGATGCTCAGTTCAGCTGGATATGAGATTCTGGGTTGAAAGTTCTTTTCTTTAAGGATGTTGAATATTGGTCCCCACTCTCTTCTGGATTGTTGGGTTTCTGCTAAGAGATCCGCTGTGAGTCTGATGGGTTTTCCTTTGTGGGTGACCTGAACTTTCTGTCTGGCTGCCCTTAGCATTTTTTCCTTCATTTCAACCCTGGTGAAATGTGTCTTGGGGTTGTTCTTCTTGAGGATTATCTCCGTGGTGTTCTTTGTATTTCCTGTATTTGAATGCTGGCCTGCTTTGCTAGGTTGGGGGAGTTCTCCTGGATAATATTTTGAAGAGTGTTTTCCAGTTTGGATTCATTTTCCCCATCCTCTTCAGGTACACCTATCAAGCGTAGATTAGGTGTTTTCACATAATCCCATATTTCTTGGAGGTTTTGTTCATTTCTTTTCACTCTTTTTTCTCTTTTCTTGCCTTCTCTTTTTATTTCATTGAGTTGATATTTGATCTCTGATATCTTTTCTTTTGCTTGATCTATTTGGCTATTGAAACTTGTGCTTGCTTCACGAAGTTCTTGTGCTGTGTTTTTCAGCTCCATCAAGTCATTTGTATTCTTTTCTAGGCTCGTTATTCTAGTTAACATTTCATATAATGTTTTTTCAAGGTTCTTAGTTGCTTTGCATTGGGTTAAAACATGTTCTTGTAGCTCAGAGAAGTTTGTTATTACACATCTTCGGAAGCCTGCTTCTGTCGGCTCATTGAAATCATTTCCTGACCTGTTTTGTTGCCATGCTGGTGAGTCATTGTGATCTCTCTGGAGAGGAGAGGCATTCTGGACTTTGATGAAGAAAACTTTTTTTTTGCGCTGGTTTCTTCCCATCTTCTCTGAGTGGACGTCCTTTCTGTTAAAGTTGGGGTTATTTCTCCTGTATGAGGCTTTTTTTTTTTTTTTTTTTTTTAAACGCAGGTGTCAGTGTGCCACTTGAGACAGTCTGTCTGTTCTCTGCCTGTGGAGGCGCTGCTGGGCTGCCTCAGTCTCAGCCAGGCTGCTGTTTATCCTTCACCTGGTTTCAGTACTGGTGGGGTTAGCCCTGCTTTCCCAATGGCGGGCTCTTTCCCTCTGCTGAGTCCGCTGTTCCCAGGTAGAGGATATGTTAACTGCAAAACGCTCCCTAGAAAGGGACTCCAGTTGCTGGATCTTGTCGGGGAGGGGCCTGTCTTGTTGTATCCCCGCCCCGCTTTCAATTCTCCCTTCTGTGGGACGGGCAGTTCCTTTTCGCAAGCTTTCTCGGTATTAGTCCAAATCTCTGCCCTGGTCTGCACTAACAAGGAACCAATGTGGCTGGGGCTGCCGGCCTGGGCTGTTGCCCGGGTCTGCGACTCTGGGTGGTTCTCAGCAAGGTAGTGTTTTCCTGGTCTGCTTGTTGCTGAAGTCTCGGAGTGAATTGCTGTATCTGATTCAGAGAACTGAGGAGGTGATGCCCCCGCATCCTCTGTGCCTGATACACTTTCCAGGTGGGGCAGTGTCAGCTGGATGCCTTTGGGCTGCTTTTGCTCCCTTTTTGGGGGTTAATCCTGCTGTTCAACCAGGCCCTTTAAAACAAAACTCGTACCTCGCTTGGAGACTCGGATATGGCTCTGGTTCTGTCTCACTTGGTGGTAGCTGCACTCCAAAGAAGCTTCCTTTGAGCCATCTTCCCCTGAATCTTCAGTAATATGATTTTCCACCTTGCTTTTTTTTTTTGTCCTTGTTTGTTTGTTTGGAGACAGAGTCTCACTCTGTCACCCAGGCTGGAGTGCCGTGGCACAATCTTGGCTCACTGCAACCTCGGCCTGCTGGGTTCAGGCAGTTCTCCTGCCTCAGCCTCCCTAGTAGCTGTGACTACAGGCACCCACTGCCATGCCTGGCTATTTTTTGTATTTTAGTAGAGACAGAGTTTCATGGTGTTGCCCAGGCTGGTCTCAAACTCCTGACCTCAGGTGATCCACCTGCCTTGGCCTCCCAAGGTGCTGGAATTACAGGCGTGAGCCACCGCAAAGGTTTTATATTTTTACAATACTGATAGATGTTTCTCAGTTGCCATTCGTGAGTTGAATCAATTTACACTCCTACCAGCAATTTTTTCCCCCACAGTCTCACTGAGTACTATCAAACTTTTGAATTTTTGATAATCTGAAAAGTGGAAAATAGTATCCTAGAATTTTTTTAAGGATAAAATCTATGAAAGCATATTATTATGCTGTAGAACACCTGATAATGCAGGAGAGCGAGAGAGAGAGGGAGAGGAGGTAATTTCCCAAGTAGAATCCCTTGCTAGGGTGGAGGAATGGAATCCAGTGAATCAGTGATTCATTTAATAGGTTAACATGCAGGGGGTGGCGGGTGTTGGTACATTTTGGGGTGGAATCAAGTGCAAGTTTCCTTTGATTGCTTTTTTTTTTTTTTTTTTCAGATGAAAAAAGAATCAAGGTTAGTTAGGCCAGGGGAGAGGAGAGACTGCTGAACACGTGAGAGAAGAGATATGAATTACTTTTCTTAGAGAGTGACAGAGTAACCTTACTGGGGGAATGCAGAATTGTTTAGCAAGAGGGAAGTCCCCCCTGGAAGATTACAGCTCTAAATTTAAAGTGAACTCTGAAGGATGAGGAATCACTATGGCTGAACAAGATTCCAACTTTAGGGAGACTTGAGTCAAACTGAAAAACAAAGCATTTATTGAGCATTCATTTAACAAATATTTATAAGAGTCTCCCTGCAGAGGCACTCTTGCCTGGGTACTGACTGAATCACTGAGAGCAGATCCAAACATATGCCAGCGGTTCACACAAGGCTAATTAAGGTAAGGTATTTACTCTGCAAACAAAACCACACAAAGTCCTTAAATAAACTGATACGGTTAGGCTGTGTCCCCACTCAAATCTCATCTTGAATTGGAATCCCCATAATCCCTCAGGGTCAAGGGAGAGACCAGGTGCAGGTAATTGAATCATGGGGGTGGTTCCCCCATGCTGTTCTCGTGATAGTGAATTTTCAGGAGATCTGATGGTTTTACAAGGGGCTGTTCCCCCTTCCTTAGGCACTTCTTCCTGCCACCTTGTGAAGATGGTGCCTTGCTTTCCCTTCATCTTCCACCATGATTGTAAGGCTTCTCCAGTCATGATGAACTGTGAGTCAATTAAATCTCTTTCCTTTATATAAATTACCCAGTCTTGGGCAGCTACTTATAGCAGTATGAAAACGGACTTATTAATACAATGCTCTTGAATGGGTGTGTATGTGTGCGGTATTTTTTGACTCCTCTGACAGCCTCAACAAACAGTCTCTCTGAAAAACAGGCACATACATAAATTTGCAATTTCAGGTAGTCCTAGAACCACAAATTAAGATCCCATGTCCCAAATTAAGAGCTCTATTTTAAAGAGTGTATCTTTCTAGAATATTTTCTATGATTCAATTTTAAGCTATGAGCAACTTCACGGTTGTGTATTGGATACTTTAACAAGGGCTTAGAATTTGAAGTCATTTTAGGTTTTAAAAAAGTTGCAGGCCGGGAGCAGTGGCTCATGCCTGTTATCCCAGCACTTTGGGAGACCGAGGTGGGTGGATCATGAGGTCAGGAGTTCAAGACCAGCCTGGCCAACATGGTGAAACCCTGCCTCTACTAAAAATACAAAAAATTAGCCCGGCTAGTGGCGGGCGACTGTAATCCCAGGTACTCGGGAGGCTGAGGCAGAGAATGCTTGAACCTGGGAAGTGGACAGTACAGTCAGCCAAGATTGTGCCATTGCACTCCAGCCTGGGCAACACAGGGAGACTCCATCTCTAAATAAATAAATAAATAAATTCGATAGATGAATAAATAAATAGATAAATAGTAAATATGTAAGTTGCAAAAATATACAAGGTATGTCTGAGGAAAAAGGAAAAAAAAAGTTGCAAAATATCATAGTATGGCTTTCACCTGGAAAAAGAAAACAAAGTTGCCAAAATAGTGTTTCCCTAGATTCATCAAATAGCATCTCCAAAGGTTAACATTTTACATAATGGTAGTATAATTATTAAAATTATTGATATAATACTACTGCGCTAATAGACCTTAGTCAAGTGTCATCTGATGTCCCATTAATGTCCTTTTTTTTTTTTTTTTTTTTATTTTTTGAGACAGAATCTCACTCTGTCACCCAGGCTGGAGTGGAGTGGCGTGATCTCAGTTCTCTGTAACCTCCACCTCTCAGGTTCAAATGATTCTCCCGTCTCAGCCTCCTGAGTAGCTGGGATTTACAGGTGTGCGCCACCACTCCCGGTTAATTTTCGTATTTTTTTTTTAGTAGAGACCGGGTTTCGCCTCGTTAGCCAGGCTGGTCTTGAGCGCCTGGCCTCAGGTGATCCGCCTGCCTCGGCCTCCCAAACTGCTGGGATTACAGGCGTGATCCACTACGCCCGGCCTCATGTCCTTTTTCTATACCAGGAGCCAATTCCGGATTTCACATTACGTTCCTCCTCTGTTGCTCAGGCTGACCTCGAAGTCCTGGGCTCAGCGATCCTCCTGCCTCCTGAGCAGCTGGTACTACGGGCGTGTGCCACACATCCTGGCTGCTACTGCCTTTTAAAAACTTTAATCCACGCTCTGTACTTGAGGGATTTGTGTTCTCGGGCAAATTACTGAACGTCTCTGAGTCACTTTTCCGTCTAATAGAAGCGATGCGATGAAGAACCAATACAAAACACATTTGGGATGGCTTCGGAAACTTTGAAGGGAAGTGAATACATTTTTCTTATTTCCCGAAGCTGGGTCATATAATTCACTTTTTCGTTGTCCAGATCAAAATAAAACAATTAAGAAAGCGTTGTTGTCGGTCGAGGTGTTTTGTTCCGAGGTAGGACCCGTAGCTTCTCCCCCTCCCCTCCGCCAGGAGTAGCGGCTTCTGATTGGACAGCGCGCGTCTGCCACGACGCAGGAAGGCCGCCTCATTGGTCCGCGCAGTCGGGCTCCTGAGGCTTTTCTCTTTAGCACTCAGGGCGCTGACCCACTTTTATTCCTCTAAGTGAGTGCTCGATTTCTTCCGGCGCCCGGAGCTGCTAGCCTAAAGGCATCCTGACGGAGCTAGACCGGGTAAGTGCTTTGAGGTCCGCCGGAAAGCCGCCGCGGCTGAGAACTACGGGTGGGAGTGGGATTGGCGAGCTTGGGTAAAACTGCCTCTTCGCGCGGTCTCGACCCCCAAGGTCTCCGCGTCTTCTCCGTCCCTTTCCTCCGCTGGCCCCACCTTCCTCCCCACCTTCCTCGGGCCTTTCCAGGCGGACGCCCCTCCGCAGCCCTTTCGGGGAACCCCCTCCTCTGCTCGCGTCTCCACGGGGCCCGCCCTCGTCTCCTCCCTGCAGCGTCCCCTTCCTCAGGAGCGCACCTTCTTCCCTCCTCTCCGCCGCCGTCGTGCTCCCCAGCTTGGCCCGTTCCTGGCACCTCCTAGTCCTTTAAGTTTGGTTTTGCCCCTCCCTGGTACCTCCATGGTACTTTTCTCTCTGTGATCCCTGCCTCCTTTGCATCTGACTGCTGGGGTTCTCCGATTCTTCCACTGACCCAGGCTGCCTGTATACGGGTTTAGCAAATTGTGCAGCGGGGTTGTGCTGGGCGTTGGGGGTAGAGATAGTGATTGGAGGTCCCTGCTTTCAAGAACTCCCTGCCCTGTGGGAGAGAGTCACTTTGTAAATGGAGTATGATAGGCCCAGTGATAATGTTGGACTGCTTAGGGGAAGGAGTTCTCGAGGGGTTCCTCCCCCGACCCCGGCCCCCATTCCTGCTGAATTCTCAAGCAGGCCTCTGGGGGCTAAGCTGCATCTTTTCGTCAGAATGCCTTTGGCTTCTTCCGATGCAGAAGCGTGGCCCTAATCATGGTCCTTTTTTTTTTTTTTTTAGTTATTCAATTTGAGACAGTCTCGCTCTGTCTCCCAGGCTGGAGGGCAGTGGCATGATCTCAGCTCACTGCAACTTCTGCCTCCTGGGTTCAAGCGATTCTCCTGCCTCAGCCTCCTGAGTAGCTGGGACAACCACACCTGGCTAATTTTTGTATTATTATTTTTTTAATTAGTAGAGGCAGAGTTCCATCATGTTAGCCAGGTTGATCTCGAACTCTTGGGCTCAAGTGAACCACCCGCCTCGGCCTCCCATAGTACTGGAATGACCAGCGTGAGCCACTGCGCCCGGCCATCATGGCCCTTTAAACACTTGAGTTGTTAAAATATTTGTATGGGCCCTTCTTTTAACCTGTCAGAATAGGTAGAGTTTCAGAGACCATCTATCCAAGCCCTCAGAGTATTGACTGGGAAGGTGGAGGCCAGAGACAGTGATTGCCTAAGTAAATAGTGACTCAGCATTGTACTCTTGATGCTACTTTTTGGAGTTTTTCTTGAGGATTCTTTCCCAATTTTTCAATTATATAGCAGTCTTAGGGTGGGAAAACTAAAAGCGCAGATAAAACCACTAATGAGTAGATTCCTCCAAGCCAGTGCAGGTGGTTGTATACTTACTCAGATGAGAGTAATTATACCTTAGGCTCTTGAAGTGAGGAATCCCTGGGGTCTGGTCCCAGCTCCACCATTGGCTGTAAAGCTTGGTGAAGAAATTTCGTTTATCTAAGCTTCAGTTTTATCTTTTGTAAAAAGAGTGTGATAAGTCCTAACACACAGGGTAATGGTAGGGATTTGTTAAGATTCTGGTTATGAAAATAATCACTTTTAGTGTCCTGTGAATTGTAGGATCTCAGCACAGGCAAGCTCCCTGTGCTTCAGATTCATGTCTCTCTGGCTCAGATCAGCAAAGAATCTGATATGCTTTCTTTTTCCAGGCACCATGACCACCCTTGATGATAAGTTGCTGGGGGAGAAACTGCAGTACTACTACAGCAGCAGTGAGGATGAGGACAGTGACCATGAGGACAAGGACCGAGGCAGAGGCGCCCCAGCCAGCAGTTCTGTGCCTGTAGAGGCTGAGCTGGCAGGCGAAGGCATCTCAGTTAACACAGGTACTGAGAAGCCCTGGGCTCCGAAAACAGGCTTAAAAAATGTACATTAAATGCATATTAATTAGACGTCATCTAATCACTTTTAACTCTGGTCCCACTTTCAGAGATAACCTAGCTTTTTCATTATGTATGTGTCTAGCCTTTTAGTGCACAATACAAATGCATCTGCATAGCAGCATGGTGATGAACACAGACTGGCCTGGATTTGAATCGTGCATCTCATATTAATAGTTTGTTATCTCATAAATCACAAGTATGAGTATATGGGTAGTACAAATTTCTAAAAATGGCATCTTTACACTTGAACATTTTAATATTGTCAAATTGCTATCAATTGAGGTGGCGGTAATTTTTAGTTTAATCAGCAATCCGTCTTTCTCCATACACTTGTCCTCCTACTGTGTTATGAAACTCATTGATCTTTGCTATTGTAGTAACTCATTGTAGGTTTATTTATTCCCCCCACTCCCACCCTTTTTCTGGGGGTCAGGGAGACAGGGTTTTGCCTTGTTGCTCAGGCTGTAGTGCCTTCGTGTGGTAATGGCTCACTGCAGCCTCAACCTCCTGGGCTCAAATGATCCTTCTGCCTTAGCTTCCATGAGGTTCCTGTCTTAAAATGCTGGGACCACAGGCACTTGCCACCATGCTAATTTATTTTATTTTTAAAATAAGTGAGATGGAGTCTCACTTTGTTGGCCAGGCTGGCCTCACACTGCTGGCCTCAAGCAATCCTCCCACCTCAGTCTCCCAAAGTGTTGGGATTATAGGCGTGAACCAATGCACCAGGCCCATCTTTCTTTTCAAGAGAGAACCTAAACTTCTTTTCATAATTTTAAGAGAGATTTTTATATCTTTTGCTTATTTAAAAAATGTGTGATTAGTTTTTTTCTTTTTGGGGAGCTATAAAGGAAATTAGTCTGCGATATGAGTTGTAAATATTTCTTTGTTTATTGTCTTGACTTTATGTTCTTTTCCTGGATGAAAATTTTTATTTTTATGTGCTTGAAAGTGTTTTATAGTTTCTTAATTTTGCTTTTAACTTAAAAGGCATTTCTTCACTCTATAAAGGGCCTCACTTTGCTGTATAAAAAGGTTCTCCTGGCCAGGTGCAGTGGCTTACGTCTATAGCACTTTAGGAGGCCAAGGCTGGTGGATTGCTTGAGCTCAGGAGTTCAAGGCCAGCCTGGGGAACACAGTGAAACCCCGTCTCTACTGAAATAGAAAAAATTAGCTGGGTGTGGTGTGCACCTGTAGGCCCAGCTACTTGGGAGGCTGATGCAGGATAATTGCTTGAACCATGAAGACAAAGGTTGCAGTGAGCCAAGATCATGACACTGCACTCCAGCCTGGGCAACAGAGTGAGACTCTGTCTCCAAAAAAAAAAAAAAAAAAGGTTCTCCTATATTTTTCATTAGTATTTTTGTAATTTCTTTTTATACACTTAAATATTGATTCATGTGGAATTCACTTTGGTGTAGGGTGAAGTAGGGCTCCAACTTAATTTTTTTTTTATATTGCTACTCAGTTGTTTCAGTACTGCTTATTGAATAAACCATCTTTATTTTGAGATGTCACATTGTGTACTGACTTTCTGTTTATGTTGGGTCTTTAGTTGTACTATGTAGTTTCTTCTATTGATGTCTTGTACTGGGCTATGTTATACTGTTTTTAATTATTGCAGTGTTATATTTTAGTATTTGGTAAGGCTAGATCCTCTTATTAACTGTTGCTTTATTTTTTCCAAGGGAAATTTAGGAGCAGGACATATGTGTGTACATGTATTTTCATGGGGAATGCATTAAAGATATAGATTAGGGATAATTGGCACTTTTGTGGTATTGAGTATGGCTATTCAGGAACATGGTGCTTTTCCATTTATTCAAGTCTTATTTTTTGGGAGCATTTTAAAGTTGTCTTCATATAGATTTATATATGTTTTTTTCTGTGATAACAAAAGACTCTAAAGCTTTAGTGGCTTATGACAACAAAGGTTATTTCTCAATCATGTTATATGCAGCCTGTAGGTCTGTGGCAGCTCCGCTTATGCTTCATATGTTCTCTCATCCGGGAGCTGGGCTTAATTCTCTCATCCAGGAGTAACAGTCTTAATTTGTTCTCTCATCCAGGAGTAATAGCCTTAATTTGGCTACATCCCTCTATTTGGGACACACTGTTTTCATGGGGAAGCATAGAGAGCACGAGAGGAGCTGTTGGAAACATGGAATGGCTCATACATGGCATACTTTTTGTTTTGCTCAGACATGCCATACTTCATGTTTGCTCACAGTCCCATTGGGCAGCAAGTCACATGGTCAAGCCCAGCATCAGTGGGTTGGGGATATATGTACTCATCTCACAGAGGTACCACAGGTCACATAGCAAGGGGCAAGGACATGTAAGTCCTTTGGCAGCACAGAGCTTGGGAAGTTAAGGGTAGCTTGAATAACAGAACAGTAATACAGCCTGCCACAATCTTGTTACAAAAAATTCAGATAATGTAGAAGTATAGAAAGAAAAAAGTAAAATATCTCTCCCACCAGCCCCCTTAGATCCTGTTACCTGGAGACAACCACTGATGTCATATCCTGCACAGTTTACATATCCTGCAAGCTCTTACATATGTGCATATCTACGTACATAAATATTTTAAGTTCTTTTTATAGAAACTAGAGGATTATACCATGATATTCTACATTTTGCTTTTTTAATAACCTGATATATTTGTAATATTTTTTCTTTTTTCTTTTTTGAGACGGAGTTTCACTCTTGTTGCCCAGGCTGGAATGCAGTGGTGAGATCTTGGCTCACCATAACCTCTCCCTCCCAGGTTCAAGCGATTCTCCTGCCTCAGCCTCCCGAGTAGCTGGGATGACAGGCATGCACCACCTTACCTGGCTAATTTTGTATTTTTAGTAGAGATGGCATTTCTCCATGTTGGTCAGGCTGGTCTCAAACTCCCAGCCTCAGGTGATTCACCCATCTCAGCCTTCCAAAGTGCTGGGATTACAGGTGTGAGCCACTGCACCCAGCCTATTTGAAATATCTTTAATGGTAGGAAACATAGAGCTGCTTCATTCTTTCTAAGAGTTGCTTTACTTTCCTTTGAGCAGATGAATCATAATTTTTTAAACTCATCTCCTGGTGTTGGGCATTGGTTTGGCGCCTGTAGCAGACTTGCAGGGCATGTCATTGTGTATAAGCCGCTCTGCCCTGTGGCAAAGTACACAGAGGCCCCTATGATGATTGTGCCATAGATGGAGCAAGCTTCAGGCTATGGAGACCAGCTCGGCAGTAGAGACCCAGAGCTGAAGGCATTAAGAAACAGACACCCAAATAGAAAAGCAAAGTGGTACTATCAGGGTGGCCAACAGCCTTCCGAGCTGAGAGCCTCAGGGGCTGACAGCATTCTGGGAGAGGGCCTCGAGCAGACTCTGACCATGTAGTTATTCTCTCTGAACAGGTTGTAATTATTATTATTATTATTATTATTTTGAGACGGAGTTTCACTGTTGTTACCCAGACTGGAGTGCAATGGCACAATCTTGGCTCACCGCAACCTGCGCCTCCTGGGTTCAAGCAGTTCTTCTGCCTCAGCCTCCCGAGTAGCTGAGACTACAGGCGTGCACCACCATGCTCAGCTAATTTTTTTGTATTTTTAGTAGAGACGGGGTTTCACCATATTGACCAGGATGGTCTCAATCTCTTGACCTCATGATCCACCTGCCTCGGCCTCCCAAAGTGCTGGGATTATAGGCGTGAGCCATGGCGCCCAGCCAGGTTGTAATTATTAACAGCAGGTGTCCTGTGTTTTCTCATGGAACCAAGATAGACTAGGTAGGCAGCTGGTGCCTACTTAACACTGATAAAGGACAAACCAGAAAGTATTCTTCACGAGGGAGCCCCGGGGGCAGGGTCACATATCCCATGCTTAAAGAATTGTTTTAACTGGTGTATGATATACATATACTGCTTTGCTACTTTAGAATGCCCCAAACAGTTTTCCACTTGGCGGTGGGTGGTGGGGGGGCAGCTAGGTTTTCCTTGCCTTTGTCCTTAGCAAACAGTATAATTTATTGTACACTCAGCATTTCTCAGCAGTCATACACTTAGCCTTTCTCAGCATCAGACAGATGTGAACTCCTACCTACAGATGTGAGCTGGTCCATAACTCCTTGCCCATTCTTCTCGGTCACATCTGTGTTTACCCTGCTCAGGCCCAAAAGGTGTGATTAATGACTGGCGCCGCTTCAAGCAGTTGGAGACAGAGCAGAGGGAGGAGCAGTGCCGGGAGATGGAAAGGCTGATCAAGAAGCTATCAATGACTTGCAGGTCCCATCTGGATGAAGAGGAGGAGCAACAGAAACAGAAGGACCTCCAGGAGAAGATCAGTGGGAAGGTAATTAGCACTACCCAGGCTTTTCTTAGAAGCTGCTCTGCTAGAGCCAGATGAGTGATCAAGAGGTGGAGGATGCTTGATTTGGCCTCCAAAAAGTTGTGCAGTGCAGGAGAAATCATAGAGCCATGTCAAAACTCATACATACCCAGCTTAGAATCTCAGTTCTGCTACTAGTGACTGTGGGAAAGAATCTTCCCTTTTGAATCTGGTGTTTCAATGGTTAAATGATGTCACTCTCCTCCCCGAACAGAGCTGTGTGGTTAATATGCCCATTATAGTGTCTGGCCAATTGAAAGTGCTCCATAAATGTTAGTTTTCCTTCTTTTATTGAGATTTTATCTTGGGCCAGAAGTAACTCTCTGAGGGAGGTGATATTATCCCCTTTTTATAGATTATGAAAGCAGTGCTTAGAGGGCATTAGAGACTTTGTTCAGCGCAGTGCAACTGGTAAATTCTAGTAGGAGCTAGGGTTCTAACCCAAATTTTCCTGTTTTTTCCATGATGTTGCTGTTTCATCTGAAGCCTATTCATGGGAATTTAAGGAGGCATTATAATAAGCAAACAGATACTCTGGAAGATACTTGGAAGTAGTTCCCTGGTATCCTTTTTTTTTTTTTTTTTTTTTTTAAATAGAGACAGGGTCTGTGTTATCCAAGCAGGTCTCGAACTCCTGAGCTCAAGTGACCCTCCTGCCTCAGCCTTCCAAAGTGCTACGATAACAGGTGTGAGCCATGATGCCTGGCCCCTGATGGCCTCTTATTCAGTGTTAAAAGGGATTCACTATTTCCCTGGATGCCCTCTGACTGTGGATGAATGTCTGTGAGTGCTTGAGATCATTTAGCTATGGCCCAAAGCTAAAATATCACACAGCATCAGAGAGCAGATAAGAGAATTAAGCTGGGAATCATTCACCTTGACCAGGAGGGTGATTTTAGACATTAGATTTAGCCAAAGACTTCAGTATGTCAGAAGAAGACTGAGATGGAGTTGGAGGGCTATGAGATGAGAAGAAAATCGGCAATAAGTAAATTGGTGAACTCAGAATGTTGCTGGTTATGATATAGTAACATGTGTTCTGATCTGGTGTGATCTCCCACTCCCTATCCCCTAATATAGACAATATTAGGCAGAGTTAGGATTTATTTGAGGAGCAGGGATGCATTGCTGCATCAGGGCAGAAGGAAGATGCTTTTGTAGCTGAAGCTGTCTCTTGGGCATTGTGCCCACCACTCACAGCTGCTTCCTTATACTAGGTGAGAGGCCAGAATGAGGCAGTATTATATCATCACATGGATCAGTCTTAAAAGAAGCTGTTCCTGTCCTGCTGATTTATCTGCAGTAGAACAGAACTGGAAACTGTCTGAATGCCAGAATTAGGGAAGTGGTTAAGCAAAGTGACACATTATGTATAATTTCATAAAAATATTTGGAAACATGAGGAAATACTTAGAATCATGCTAAGTCTCAAAAGCAGGTTATAGCTTAATTGGTACACCCACAGCTGCTGCTATAAAAGCAAAACTATTTCAGTATGTGACTGGTAATAAAAAGAATTTTTAGAGTCCATATGACTGTGTGTGTGTGGGGGGATTGTGTGGGGCAGGGATTATGAGAGTTCTTTCTAAAATTCTATGATGTGTTCTCTTTAAAAAAGTGGATAAAATATTGTCAAGATTGACAAAAAGTAAGCTCATGAAGTGATTACAATGCTATTTGGATTGAGAGGCGATGTGATAGTATAGTTAAAATCATGGGTTTTAAATCTTGTTTGAGTCCATGCACTTGTCAAATAATGTCAAGTTTTGGAACCTCATTTATAAAATGGGGCTATTAAAAGTCCCTTCCCGATGGAGTTGTGGAATTCATAGAGATATAATGCATATAAAGTACTTAGTATGGTGCCTCATCTATTATCAGCATGTAGTACACATTAACTATTTAGTTGTTTTATTTTTATTTTTGAAGACAAGGTATCGCCCTGTTGCCCAGGCTGGAGTGCAGTGGCATGATCTTGGCTCACTGCAACCGCTGCCTCCTGGGTTCAAGCGATTCTTGTGCCTCAGCCTCCTGGTAGCTGGGACCACAGACGCACACCACCACGCCTGGCTAACTTTTTGTATTTTTTTTTTTCTTTTTTAAGGAGAGACAGGGTTTTTCCATGTTGGCCAGGCTGGTCTTGAATTCCTGACCTCAAGTGATCTCCCCATCTCGGCCTCCCAAAGTGCTAGGATTACAGGTGTGAGCCACTGTGCCCAGCCCATATTAACTGTTACCACGAGTGTTCAGTTTTCATATTTATGCTCACTTGCTGGTCTGCCTGCAGATGACTCTGAAGGAGTTTACCATGATGAATGAGGACCAAGATGATGAAGAGTTTCTGCAGCAGTACCGGAAGCAGAGAATGGAAGAGATGCGGCAGCAGCTTCACAAGGGGCCCCAATTCAAGCAGGTTTTCGAGATCCCCAGTGGAGAAGGGTTTTTAGACATGATTGATAAAGAACAGAAAAGCACTGTCATCATGGTTCATATTTATGAGGATGGCATTCCGGGGACCGAAGCCATGAATGGGTGCATGATCTGCCTTGCCACAGAGTACCCAGCTGTCAAGTTCTGCAGAGTGAAGAGCTCAGTTATTGGCGCCAGCAGTCGCTTCACCAGGAACGCCCTTCCTGCCCTGCTGATCTATAAGGGGGGTGAATTGATTGGCAATTTTGTTCGTGTTACTGACCAGCTAGGGGAAGATTTCTTTGCTGTGGACCTTGAAGCTTTTCTTCAGGAATTTGGATTACTCCCAGAAAAGGAAGTCTTGGTGCTGACATCTGTGCGTAACTCTGCCACCTGTCACAGTGAGGATAGTGATCTGGAAATAGATTGAACTGATAGTCTGGTTCCATAGATCTCTCATTGTTTGGGTTGGAATATACATGTCATTGTTTATTTTTGTTCCTCCTTTGTCTTCTGGCTTTTCAGCTGTTCTTTGTAGTCCCTTTTATTTTGTGTAAAACCAAGAGATTCTTAGATTAAATCAGAATGCTGAACAATCTTGTGGCTAGCAGTAAGGTGACTTAAAATTGGATAAACAGGAAGCCAGGATTTTGAACTGTTTAGTTAAGATTCTCTGGCATGACATCTCTGTTATTGTTTCCAGTCAATATTTGCAAAGCATCCTAAAGACGGTGTCTTGGAAATTGTCTTCAGATGATCTTAGAGATCTCTGCCAAGTCTGAGAATATAATTCTGTAGGCAGTGTGTTATTTGCAATGTAAATTGTGCATTTTCTTAATCAAATGATTGTAAACTATATTTACTTGTAATCAGATCCAGAGTTCCAGACAGTGTTTAGATTTTTTTTTCCCCCCCAGACCCCCTTGTCCACCAGGGTCTTGTTTAAAGGTTCTAGGTGACGCATGTTTACCTCATCAGGACGGGTGGCCTCTGCTGCTGGATTTAATGTCCTCCTCCAGCATTCCTAAGTCTGACACAGCAGGAAGGGTTGATGCTGACTGACCTGGTGACGTTGGAAGACAAGTACTTTATGGATTTAAACATTAGAGCTGGAGTGGGGATGGAAACTTTGTGAAGGAGGATCTTTCAGTAAGATGCTCCTGCTTGTCTTTGTCTCTTTTTGTTTAACAAGGTAACTTTTTGTTTAACTTAGATTATTTTTAAAACTTTTTTTTTTTTTTCATATTGGAAAACTCTTATTCGGTAGAGGAAAATTGACCAAAGCAGAAGCAAAAATAAGAAAATTAAAATAATCTCTAATCCTACCACCTAGAGTGAAACACTATTAATATTTTGGTCTCCTTCCTGCCCAGGTGTTTTCTGTGTATACATGGATATTTTGTTTGTTCTTAAACAAAACGATGGGATCATTCTGAACATACTGTTTTATAGTATGGTCAGCCAATAATATATCAGACCTTTTTTCATATGATTAAATATTCTACAACTTTAAAAAAAGTCTGTTAATATTCCATCATATAAATGTGCTGTAATTTGCTTGGTAGTTGTCTCTTAATAAGAAAGATAGCAAATACTTTTTTTAATTATGAAAGTGACATATTTATTGTAGAAAATGTAATAAAAACTGTTAAGACTTAAAAGCCATATAATTTCACCAACCAAAATTAATCCCTGTTGTCATATTTCTAGTCATTTTTCTAGCCTTTTTTCTATGTATTTATAATTATCATTTGAGTTTTTTTTTTAAACTTTAAAAATGTATATTCTAAGGTCAGGGGAAATGTAATCTGGAATTAAATATTAGCTTTAAAATTCACAATTTTTATTTTTCTGGCTTTTCAGGAATTGACTAACTGAAAAAGGGTCTTGAAAGTATCTATTGTATTCATCAACATAAAAAGTGCATTTTTTTTGAACTAAGAAAAGCTCATTGTAGAAAGGGTGGAATGTACAGAAAATTATTAGAAGAAGGGAACTATTATTAGTCTAGCTTATTTCCTTTCAGTCTTTTTTCAGTTTTTTAAAAACATTGAATACTTACTGAATTTAGTTCTGTGCTCTGCGTTATTTAGTATTGTGTCATAAATACTTGATGTTTCATCTGTTACCATGTGCCTCCATGCTGGTCGTTCAAGGCTGGCTGTGCTGTGACTGCTGTCGGGCCAATAGTTGAAACAACTTGTCTCCAAAGGGAGACAAATGTGTGCGCTTCTTGGATGAATCTGGCACCATACTTAGCTGTTTAAAGTCTAATCTTTTTTAAAAGACACATCTGGGACTTTTGTCTGTGCGTGTTAATGGATATTCACAGGAACATACAGAGTACTTGCATAACTTATTGACAAAACTCATTGAAAATATTCATACCCTTGGTTGGGCACGGTGACTCACGCTTGTAATCCCAGCACTTTGGGAGGCCAAAGAGGGTGGATTACCTGAGGTCCGGAGTTCAAGACCAGTCTGGCCAACATGATGAAACGCTGTATCTACTAAAAATACAAAAATATCAGCCGGGTCTGGTTGTGTGCGCCTGTAATGCCAGCTACCCAGGAGGCTGAAGCAGGGAAATCGCTTGAATCCATGAGGCGGAGGTTGCAGTGAGCCGAGGTCGTGCCGATGCACCCCAGCCTGGGTGACAGAGTGAGACTCCATCTCAAACAACAACTCAGCCTTATTTCATAGGTGAGAGGAAGGGTTCCATTTACAATCCCACAATTAATGGATGGGAGAGGGCTCACATCCAGATTGTTTGACTTTATCTTTTTCCTACCCCACCCATCTTTGTATATGGTACATTTTGAATGGGTTGGGTAGGCCTAGGTAGAGAAGGAAATAAATGGAGCATCCGGGAGACTGCGTCTTCCAGAGGAGCATGGCACAGATATATTTATTTGGTCTCCTAAGAAGTGAAACCAGATTCCTTAATATAGCTTTATTTGACCACCTGCTGCTCTTGCCTCTTCTCTCCATCTCTCTTGCTAACTTCTACCAGCAGGTGGAAGAAATTATTGCTATGCCCAGGCCAAAATATGTGAAAGCAAACAATATCTCAGCAAATAGGATTTTTTTCTTTTTGAGACAGAGTTTCGCTCTTGTTACCCAGGCTGGAGTGCAATGGCGCGATCTCGGCTTACTGCAACCTCTGCCTCCTGGGTTCAGGCAATTCTTCTGCCTCAGCCTCCTGAGTATTACAGGCACGCGCCACCATGCCCAGCTAACTTTTTGTATTTTTAGTAGAGACGGGGTTTCACCATGTTGACCAGGATGGTCTCGATCTCTTGACCTTGTGATCCACCCGCCTCGGCCTCTCAGAGTGCTGGGATTACAGCTGTGAGCCACCGCGTCCAGCCGCAAATAGGATTTTTAAGCACAGTAATCCAAGCGTTTCAATCTCAGCAAACATGCAGCTGATACAGATTCTGTTTTGTATCAGTTCTATTTTTGGCAAAAAGCAAAGGACAGAACTAAGGGGATTTCATGATTCTCCAGCGTGCCATAAGGAAATCCCTGGTTTGCTTATTATTAGGATGGTGAAAAACAAATAGGAATAATCATGAAAATTCGCCATTTCTAACTCTGTCATCTCCTTTCTCAATCATCCATGTTCCTCCAAAGGCTGCCAGGGAGTGTGTACCTGTGTCATTCTCTTCTAGGCATTGGGGCAGGTTGGCTGGCCACCTTCATGAATGAATGATCTATGTCTACTTTATAAGCTGGTTATACTAAGAATGGTATCCTGGAAACCAAAACTGTTCCTCGGATTTTCTCAGATCGTGCAGAATTGGGTGATTTTCTCCCCCACTCCCTCTTTTTGCCTTTAGCCACACCTAATAAATACAACCTAATTCCATAAATACAACCTAATTCCATAACACCTCTCCTCTTTCTCACCCCACATACAGCATGGGGCCCATTGCTTTCCCCTGAGATGCCTAGATGGAGTCTGCCCTTGTATGCACTGTTGCCCCCCTTACCATGTTTATACAGGGGGTTAGCTCTTTGTTATAGTCTGTAGACACATAGGCATTTGTATGTAGTCTAGATTTTCATGATGGTTCCAAAGGTTGAAAGGAGAGGGAGTTTACATTGTGTGTGCGGAGCAAATTTCTCAAATCCCTTTGAACATATTCTCCCTCTCCCCTGCCCTTCTTTTTTCTCACTTCTGAATCATCCTCAGGTCTCTTGATGTCTCATCCCTTTCTGATGAGCAGTTTAGCTTCTCCCCACTTCTACTTTCAGAATCCTCCAGCTACCAAGACCCACCTCCTCAGAGAGTTGCTGGAGATTTTAGTAACAAAAATTTGCCCTGTCACATTTAGGAGATGTGCTTTCTTATCTTTGTTCTATCAAGCTGGGTGAAATTACACAAAACACTTTATATCTTAGAACCAGTTCCTCTCTGTAGAATGTAGCTAACCTCTATTCCGTGGTCACAAGGATCATCAAAATAAAAAATAATCACAGTTAATATGTGTGGTTTACTAACCATGTTCTAGAAACCATGTCAAGTGCTTTCTGCACATTTTTATTATAGTATTGGAACTATTGTCGACCCCACTTCACAGACTACTAAATTGAGTGTCCGAGCTGCTAAGTTCCAAGGTTATTCAGCCAGCAAGTAACAGAATGAGAATCAGCATTTGAGATAGGAATATTCTACACAAAATGTACTGTTACAGAGAAACTAGAGTGGTATCATCCCAGATAAGGGTTCATGCCTGTTTGCTTGTCAAATGGGTAGAATACATTAAATGCTTTCAGGAGAATGGGAGACGTTGTTTAAATTTTCCCCAAAACCCAGAAGAACTCAAAAGTACTCATCATCTTGGCCTTATTGGTATTTGACTACGAATACAATATATCCCACAGAAGCAAGTCTAGTAGAGTGGCCTTGGAAAAAGGCTAGGATTTATGAGCAGGTTTAGGCAACTCAAGCTTTCTCGGCTTCCATTTTCTCATCTGTGCTTTCATAATTGTGATTTTAAAAGCACCTTTGTTGACAGTAAAGGTTCAGTGAAACAGCACAAATGAAGTGTTTCATATTTGGTCTGGCAGGTAGTAGTTGCTCAACACGTCTTGTCTATTAATGACAACCACAATGATAATAGTGGAATAATAATGAATTGATAAAATATGATTGTGAAAGGTCAAATGAGTTTTGATCTTGCCCCTCTCCTCTGTTTCAGTGGCTGTATGGTTTTTATGTTCTACATTGTATGGTTTAATGTTGGCAGATGGGGGATTTTGATAGACATATGATAAAATCAGAAGCCCCGAGACTTGTATTTTCATCACAGAAATGTATTACTTCCTTGCGTTGTGACCTGGAGCAAGTTACTTTGTCTAAGTTAACCTTACTTGTAAAAATAATCATGAATATACCTGCCCTTTCTCCTCCCCTCAGCCTCTCCACAGTCAGTGTGAGGTACCATTGGTATAGTGTATATGAAGGGGCTTTGCAAGCTCTGGAGTGCTGTATATATGCTATTTTTTTCTCTTCAATTATGAGTGGTTTTCCCATTCTCCTTAAATGACCCAACACTATGCTCTTGGTAAAAT